ATAGTAAACAACAAGGATAGTAATAACAATCAACAACAGTCATGCCAAAGTGCCATTTTATTTAATTACTAGATTAACCCGAAGGAAACACATTTACAAGCCCTTCAAGGGCACCTTTCCTTATAAGCCTATAAAAAAGATACTGGGCTAGGGGTCAATCTACTCCATCCAAAAGGGGTCATCTCAAAAAGAACCAATCCCAGGCATGTCCTTCAAGGACTATCAACATAGTGATTCGGCGAGTCAAAATAGGGCGAGTCACGATCATGCTCCGATGGTTCGTAATCCGACGGGTACGCATGATCAGGTTTGGTCTCGGGATTCTCCACTAACCCGTCAGGTGGGTCAATGTCCATAGGGTCCTAGACCTCATGCCTAGGGCTCCCATCTAGAGAACTATCGAAGCCCCTCAGAGGACTGTACAGGCCTTCGCCCTCACGGATGAACCATGCCTGGAATTGATGAGGGACTCACATAGCTCGGCCCTTATCCACCCATACAGTAGACAGGTAGCGCTAAAAAAGATGCGGCTTGCCGAGAAAACAATTGGTAGTAATAATACTATCCATATCTTGCGGCACGCCAAACTGCAAGTGGTTCGCCATGCTAAAGCCCTATAAAACAGTTAACAACAACAAATGAGATATAAATCTCAGCAAGTTAACGATCTAAGCCTCGTGTAGGAAGTCAACTCATCTCGGATGACCTAAAACATGTAGTGATATAATGATGGCAGATCAATAGCAATGCAACCCCTTGCTTTGCCTTAGTCATACACAATGTTAGGCAATTCAGCACAGTATATACAAACACACCATCACACAATCGCAAGCATCCTTACCTTATCTTAGGACATGCCCTGTACTTTTTTTTTTTTTTTTTTTTGGTAAGGAGCATGCCCTGTACGTTATAAATCATCATGTGCCATAATAATGTAATAAGCATATAACATAATCAGAACACATAACAACTTTCACATGCATGATGCACTCATGTGTGTTCCGATTATTAAGACCATTTAGGCCCACAGCACAACCCTACGATTTGGCGGTCTTCCAACATGACCGACATCTATCGCGGCCACTCAGGGCACGCTCGTCCTCGCACATGGGTCTTTTGGTTTAACTGGGTATTGTTCACGGCCACTCAAGGCACACCCGAAATCCATCAGGGGTTTCATTCTGGCCATTTAAGGCACGCCCGCAATTAGGAGAGGGTTTCATCACGGCCATTTAAGGCACGCCCGCACTCATATAGGGGTGATGGGTTCTCATTATGTGATCCCGCAAGCACTTAAACCGCTCAAGCCAATTTCAATTTTTCTCATTTAACCAAAGTATACGTGGTTGTGCTCACATATCAAAATACTGCAACTTTCATACCTAAAAATGCAATAACAAATTCACACGTGATCACATACACACAATTAAACCTTCAAACTTTGCATGCTTCCCTTTTTAAACATCCTTGCCCTATTTAACTTATAAAATTTGACATATAAACCCGACACCTTGGGTTTATTATTTATATGTCCACAAAAATTCCTTTTAAAAAATTAAATAACAAGGTTTCACATAGGGCAATTATTTTTCAGGGCAAAGCAGGCATTAAACAACATAAAATAAGTATAATTCAATACTTAATTCAAGCAAAAAACACCCATATAAAATCCACTTATCGCCCTAATTGCAATAACTTATCATTCAAATATTGATAGCTTATCGCCTCTTGGTGATAGCTTATCATTAAATTAATCGATAGCTTATCACCTAATTGGTGATAGCTTATCACTCAAATAACAATAGCTTATCGTCCCTTTGACGATAGCTTTTCATCCTTTTACCGATAGCTTATCGTCATTTTGACGATTGCGTATCACCATTTTACTGATAGCTTATCTTCCTTTTACAATAGCTTATCATCATTTCCTCGATAGCCTATTGCCTATTTGGCGATAGCTTATCACCAAAACTTCGAGAGCTTATCGCCTAACTTTCCGATAATCTATCGCTAGTTGATAACCTATCAACTAATTAATCACCATTAATCACTAATCACCTAATTAACTTAATATAAACTAATCTTAACCAAAAAAAACTTAATATAAACTAATCCTAATCAAGTTTAACGTACTAATCGAGGGATTAGAGCGATAACTCACTTGTTAACGATTTCGATGACATGGGTACGACGGCAGTGGTGAGGGCTATGCGCAGCTTGGTCAGGAAACGACACGAGGTGGCGACAATGGCATGGACATCAGCTTATCAGCTTATGTGGGCTGGTTTGGCTTGCAGTGAAGGCAGACCCACGAGGGGAGCGGTTCAGACAGACGGACGGTGCACGGGGACAGGCGATCACGGCATGCGGCTAGTGGTGGCAAGTGGCTCCACGACACAAAACAGCAGCCAAGGGGGCGGTGAAGCTGAGGTCGACCGAAGGAGGGAAAGAGGAGGGAGAGAGGCGAGGGCAAAAAATGAGAGGGAAAAGAGAGAGAGAGAAAAAGAGGAAAGGAAATGAGAGACAAGAGAGATATTTCTCTCTTCCCCAAAGTCTTCACTCATCAATGCCTAACCTTCCTTTGTCTCTTTGTTCAATAATGCAAGAAGCGTATTTTGGTCATTTCATATTTTTGGCACAAATTTCCCATTTTTTCCTTGGGCCAAAGTCAAGAGATGGGCCTTAGAATGGGCCCAATTTAATAGAAATGGGCTTGAAAAATTCACGGGCTCAAATTGGGCTTGAAAATGGTAAAGTGAGCTTAGTGGGCCTCCTTGGGCCCACTTGAACTTGTTTGGGCCCAGTGGCTGAAGCACACATTGGGCGTGAGGCCCAATATGCCTTCGCTCGGCCTACTTCCTTGTGGGCTCCAATTCTCGGCCCAAAATTTCTTTTCCGAGAATTTCAAGCAAACCAATAAATTAGAGGATTAACGAGGCGAAGTCCAATAGGTTAGTCTTCAAATCCTTGAAAGTTTGATATCCAAATTTGGATTCTAATTTATGGTCAAAATCGATCAATTGCGACTTTAGTATATCTCAAGCTAACGGACGGCTTTTAGGAGTTACGCGTATTCGACCCGTGGTTGATTTGATATCAAACCACGTTTAAGCTTTCTCGTGTCATGGGTGACCTCGATTGTCAGGTAATTGCAAGGGGTCACTCGTTAGTTTCAAAGTACACGATCGTTAGGATTTGGTTTAGGGTGGTTCGCAATCTATACAATGGTCAGGCGGAATCACCCGCGATCCGATTATATACTATTGGCAAATTATTTTATAATCGTTCTTTGATCGGTCTATAATGGCTCAAAATTGTCTCTCGTCAATCCTTATGGTCGAATTGTCAACCCATGGTCAAGTTCTCAGGTCGTGTATACTTAATTCCTTAATAGCATTTCCCTATTGGTTAGTCCTCTCATGAGTGATCAATTCAGAGCGAGATTTAACGAACAGTGCATCGATGAAATAATCATTTCATATATCTCGAAAATGGTTGAATTTCAGGATATCACAGGCCCCCCGTCTAGTTTGGTTCGAGCCGAAATGTTTTGTTACAGTCTGGGCTAGTGTGTCGGGCCTAGAGTGAGCAGGCCTAATATGTTCGGGCCAGGCTTCAATCTTAACAAAAGCGTAACCTGTGCCTGTACCTGTTATAGATAATGTCAACTAATATCATCTAAATTATTAATTGTGTGAGTGCAACCATGGATTCTATGTGATCAGCGGCCTAAAGAGGCTTGCTGTACAAGGTCTGCAGTCTGCAGATGATCTAAACCTTTTTGAGATGTTGAGGTTTTCATTGTAGTCCGTGTCGTTAAAAAACTAAAAATGAGGATTACACAAAACACACACATATACATATGAAATCTCAATTGGTTAAATTGGATGTGTATAGCATCACACAAAACAAGAAGACATTCGCCCAGAATCTCAACGAGAAAAAAAAAAGATAGAAATCTAATCCACAAGAAAAACAAGGATCAAAAGTTGACCCTCCTGGTCAAGTCGTGATACATATGAACCGGCCTGGAAAAGTCCAGGGGAAACATAATAATAAAAAGGGGCACAAGACCCTAAAGATGTGATAATATTCCAATTTGGCTGGCGTGAACATAAAAACGATGGCCCTATATGAAAACGACATGCATTCTAAATCAAACGATGTAGACATCGACACGAATACAAACACGCCCTATTCCTACCCTAAATAATGTAAAGCAGAGAATTTGGGATAATTGCCCTCGCCGGCCCTAAGTCCAGGAAAATAAAAGAAAAAGAAAATAAAAGAAAATAAAAAATTATTAAAAAATATATACGTCAGTCCGGTCTTGTCGCGTAGGACGACCGGCGTCCACGTTAGCGATTTAGGGAAAAATTGATCAGATGGGCTTAATTGGTAAAACGCGAAAAGATTTAGGATTCAATTGGCACAATTGATAAGTTTATGATTGAATTGGCACATCTATAATAAATTTCGGTCTTGTTTTGGTAATTTTTGCTTTAGGATTATGACATGGGGTGCCAAAGTAGTTCAATACTTTGTATACAGTGATGCTTCCGACAAGATGGAACTTCGTAAATCAAGTCATAGGATAATGACATGGAGGCGAGTGACGTCAACCTAGGGTCATGACTATGACGTAATAGTTTTGGTCTAGAATGACCACGACACTAATTGACTTCGCTTCCATAGGTGCCGCTCCTTCCGGAACTCCGGGACAATAAAATTACCCTTCATTAAAAATGAACTACTATAGTCCCTATAATGTAGATTCCCTCATCCTACTAATTAGAAAAAATGAGAAAAGGACGAACTGTCGGCCACATACCAATGTCGCACGAATCCAATGCCGCAGGAATCCACTGCTGGTTTTCTTTAATACCGGTTGGATCTGTGCTTTGATATTGTCAGTATTTTATTGAATAGTTTGGGTTATCATAAGTGGTTATGTGCATGGAACTTCGCTGTTGCTAGTCTTATTTCAACATTCACCAATGAGCTTCTAGATACTCGAAAAAACTCTATAAAATGGATCAATCATTTAACGGATGTCCAAGTCCAAAGGTGTCCCAAAGAGAGAGAGACCATTATTAGTTCCGATCAAAATGGAGCGAAGGTTGTTAGAAGCAGCTCAAAAGGGCGATATCGATGAGCTTAATGATTTGATCAGAAGCAATGGACTCATCATCCTCGAGGAGATGGCTCTTGAAGGAGCTGGTCACACGCCGCTGCACGTCGCTTGTGTGGCCGGCCACTTGGATTTTGTCCGAGAGCTCCTGAAGTTGATGCCCAAGTTTGCGGAAAAAGTGAACGCGGGCGGTTTCAGCCCGCTGCACATCGCGGCGGCTCGAGGTGATGTTGAGATTGCGAGGGAACTCTTGAGAGTGGGTGAACACCTGTGCTCTGTGAAGGGACGGGAGAGAAGAATCCCTTTGCATTATGCCGTCGTAAACGGGGAGCTCCATGTGATGAAGTTACTGCTCTCTGCTTCGCCTGAATCCATAGAAGAGACAACCGCCCGAGAGGAGACCGCACTTCACCTCGCCGTGAAGAACAACCGGTTCGACGCGGTCATCGTGTTGGTGGAGCATCTGAAGCAGAATAAGAAGGAGCAGGTGATCAATTGGAAGGACCACAAAGGCAACACGGCCTTGCATCTCGCTGCCGCCCGCAAAAATTTTGAGGCAAGTCTTGCCTTTCCCTTATTTTATCGCACTTTTTTTTGTGCATTATTTCAAGGGAAAATTACCAAAAAAATCATAAACTCATTGCAATTGTGTCAATTTAGTCATAAACATTTTTTGAGCCAAATCAAACCTAAACCTTTTGCATTTGTACCAATTTAGTCCATCCAGCTAATTTTTGCCGACCGGCACTGACGTGGATGCTTTCCATCCGTCCGATCGGATGGACTGAATTAGCACAAATGCAAAGATTTATGACTCAATTGGTGCAAAAAAAAGTTTATTACTGAATTGATACAATTGCAAGAGATTTGGACCAGTTAGGTAATTTTCCCTTATATTAGTGAGCATGTTAATTTGGTGTCCCTACTATATGCAAAAAATCTTCTAAGCAAAGTAATGTATTTGATCAGCACGGGAATATAGGATGTCTCATCTATGCAAAAAAAAAAAAAACTGTGTAGTCTCTTTATTGTCTGAAAATCAATGAGGATAAAACAAAGATGGAAAAGAGTTGCAGGTGGTGAACTTCATGCTTCGTGGGCTTGCTCTGGAGTACGAGGTCGTGGAGGTGAACGCCTCGAACGAGAGTGGCTTGACGCCTCTAGATGTCTCAACTCTCTCGCAAAGGGGAGCAGGAGACAGAGAGATCAGAGAAATTCTCGGACGAGCTGGAGCCATACTCGGAAGAGGAAGATCAGACACACCCGCTTCATCACTGGTCTCGGTGGACGAGGACGAGGACGATATCCAGGGAGCTAACAGTCATCAATCAGATGGGAAACAAGTAGCGGTTGCTCCTCAATCATCATCAAGTTTGTCAGCGAAATATTTGAAAAAAGAAAAGGAGTCAAAACGCAACGCCCTGCTGGTCATCGCTGCGCTCATCGCAAGCGCGACGTACCAATCCGTGCTTGAGCCGCCAGACAGTTTAGGAGGTGACGGGGGGGTGTCTGGCGCAGCCCTGGTTTACACTCTCTTCCTGGGCGGCAACACATTCGGATTCCTGATGTCGGTCCAGATGATCATTTGCCTCACCAAAGATCTCCCCGTCAGGCAGCCGCTTATGCTATGCCTGATCGCGATAGTTCAAAATTACTTTTGCTTCACGGTAGCCCTGGTGTTCACGTCAGTGGATGCTGACGAGAGTGCGCTGTTCCTGATGCCGCTTATGATATCAGTTGTCCTTCTACTGATACAGAAGTGGTTGGCCAAAGTTATAGAGCTTGTCTTTAGGCTGCTTTCTCGACTTCATCTCCTCGATAAAATGTACAGTCTTGAGGATTAATGACCAAAGTCGTGGTTGTCAATGACGGTATTCCTCTTTCCTTGAGGTTGAGCTAAGAGATGCAAGCCTTTAGCAGTATAGTATTGGAGTGTGTTCCACGTGGTCAGATATTAGATTGATGTCATGGTTCTCTGCAGTTGAGTGTGTGATGTCTGCAAGTATTTCGCTGTATCGTATTTCCCTAATAAAATGTGTCCCGAGTTTATAGCACGTCTGTAACTTCACAGATAGTGGTCGAGATTTTGAGATGTGATTGCGGGAGTTCTGTTCTCGGTACTCATTTGGTCTTTGCTTCTTCAGATGGATTGGCCGTGAAGAGGACATCTTTGTGAGGTTGAGAATGAACTTCTCTGTTAGAGCAGGTGGAAGAATCAATGGAGGTCGAACAAGGAAATAGAAAAAAGAACATAATGGAGGTCGCATGGATGGAAGGAAGAAGAAAAAGAACATAAGTAAATAGAAAGAATAATCTGACCAAAAGAAAAAAAATGAAAGAATAAGGTCTTTCTTTTAAAAATACCTAATTGAGCTGAAATTCCACGTCATTAATGACATGTGGAGGGAGAAAAAGATTGGCATATGGAATTGACGTATTGACCTTTAACGGCAATATTGACGGAGAGTTAAATAGCCAAATTTCAATAAAAAGTGAAATTGGTGATTTTTTTTATGAGATTAAAAAAGTTCGAGGAAGAATTGGGATCCAATCGAAAATTGGTGTTTTTTAAGTGAATTGGGGAATCAAAATAGGTAGGCTAAACTAATAAACAAAACCTACCAATAATTCCATGAGCTTTCCGAACCTTGGAGGACATAAATACTTTGTCCCTATAATATAAAATAAAATGAGTCCCATGTCACGATGGTATGTGAACTTATCTAATGATTTTTTTGTCTCACAAAAAGAGGGTACTTAGTTAAGTTAGTTTTGAACTACATCAACCATAGAGAAAGGTACTTTCATTGGTGCCATTCATTCCAGAACTTTAGGAGGACAAAATTAATTTTCACTAAAAATGACCTACTAAAGTCCCTATAATATATATCTCCTCGTCCAACAAATTAAAAAATTAGAAATTTTTTCTATTGAATTATCTATTACTAGAATGTGATAAGACTAGGATTGGCAATTTATATGATCAATGAAATGAAAGGAGGAAAAGATATATATGGTGTCCCATCACCTATTTTGGAGTTTGAAACTATCGAAAAAGCTTATTGTCGTTTTTCTTCATGTGTTCCACATACATTTCACTTTCTTTGTTTTCCTAATTTCAATTCTGTGCTATCTCTTCTTCATCGAATTTCCATGGGCGAGGAGTTCTAAAGTTATATTACACGATCTACCCCTAAGGTGTTAGGCCTAGTGATAAAGAAGTCAGTTGCCTTTCCCTAAATCACGAGTTCGACTCAGATCGTGAACAAATCTTTGAACGGCTCGTTGTGCCTAATTACAATATATCTTGTGTTGAGAGGCTTTCTAACTGCTAGCATTTCAGTGGGGTTCAGGTCACGGATAGGGTAGAATACTTATCGCTCATTAAGAACATTAGATAAGTAGTGTGCGATTAGTGACAAACAGAGAGAGTGATAGTTTGAAAAAAATCATATTATAATTATATAGAGGCAATTGACGACATCCTAGGGTCATCACTACGAGGCACTAAAAACCAAGGCATTGATTTTATTCCCACCGAAATGAGTTAATTAAAGAAAAAAAAACATTGCCTTTATAATATATGAGGTTAGCCAATGAATAAACACAAGTGTATGCTATAAAAAATGGTCCAGTTCCTTAAAAAGCATAAACTTTAAATGGGATCTCCATTTTGGTCCGAACTCTTTGTTTCATAGAAAAAATCATTAACTCTCACTCCGTACTCAAATCTTGCCTCCCTTGAGTTTTCATCCAATATTGTTGTTAAAGGTCCTAGGGGTGTACAACCGGACCGGCCCACCCGAAAAACAGGTCCGGGAACCGGTTCCATTTTTTTGGAACCGGTTAGAACCGGTCCAGTTTCCGGTTCCGAGTAAAAACCGACCCGGACCGGTTTTAGAACCGGTTTTAAGATAATATAAAAAAAAAAAAAAAACCCTAGATCTAGATCACGATCACTATCTCGGTTCTCTCTTCGCCGCTCCTCTATCTCGGTTCTCTCTTTGTCTTAGTTCTCTCTTCGCCGATCGCCGCAAGAACGCAATTACGCAACCGAGGAGGCTCCTCGTTCACTTCACCCATCCGGCTCTCGCTGATCCGTGAGTCCTCCATTCCCTCAGTCTCTCTTCTTCGTCTTTGTTGCAAGGTCAGATGGTTTCGAGCTCGAGCTTCGAATCTGTTCTAGTGTTGGGGAAGTGTTCGAGTTCGAGTTTGAGGTTTTGCGTTCGAGTTTTAGGGTTCTAGTGTTGGGGAAGTGGTCGAGTTCGAGTTTGAGGTTTTGCGTTCGAGTTTTAGGGTTCTAGTGTTGGGGAAGTGTTCGAGTTCGAGTTTGAGGTTTTGCGTTTGAGTTTTAGGGGTTTTTCGCAGCGGGCTTGTGTTGGTGTAGAAGATTCTCTAAGTTTTGATGATCAGTGAAGGACTTGAAGGAATAGACGCCATCTGATCTTGCGGAATCCGGCTTGTCTGAGTTTTTTTTTTTTTGAAACTTTTATCTCTTACTTCTTGGACTTCTGAGTTTGTTTAATGGAAGAATGTAAGCGTTGGTTGCGTACCTGACTTCAGTGGTTGGCCTCAACTCGAAACTCTATATGTTGCAAGCTCATTATACTCGAAACTGGTTATTATGATCTTGTCGTCATCCTTTGGATCATTCATGCAAGATCGCCCACTTTAGAGTTTAGATCAGTGAAAGCTTCTCTCAAATTTTTGGAATTGTCGTAGTTGGTTTGTGGGATTAGCTTCGTGGTGTCAGTGCGCGCGCGTCTCTGTGTGCTCATGTTGGCATTTGTGTTCCCTCTTTTCCTTCAATTTGGTCAATTCTTGATTTGCTGCGGTTGGTTTACTGATTGTGACATAGAATTCTAGTGCTTGTTGTTGCTTCTTGCTCGATTAGTCCGACTGAGCTCTACAGTTTCTTTTTTGTGGTAAAGATTAGGTCCAAGAACTGGGTGTGTTCACATAGTAATGACTTTCAGTGAGATGGTTAATTCTGGCAAGAAATATTTTGTCTCCACATTTTGTTCTTTGTATGCTCAAAAGCTCACAGATCGACCATGTGATGCTGACCCAAACCCAATTGGTTGCTGAAATCAACCCCCTTTGTTGTGTTGTGTTTGATTATATCAAGTTCTGATCTCTAATGCATGGATTGAATTTGTTGTGGCTAAGTCTGAAACTCTCTGGAATTCATATCTGAAACACTCTGGAATTCATATCTGTAGTTAAAAACGCATGAAAAGCTTCAAATATGTTGGTACAAGTATCGAGTTCATGTTTGGTTAGCTTGGTCGCATTCCTCTCCCTGTTAGTTTGGTGAGTGTTTGGTGTGCAACAAGTGTGACCTTTAGGCTTTCAGTTTACAAGTTCTTTTGTTTGGTTGTGCAACAATCTTTTGGCTCTTACTTAAATTTGTTTTCAGTAAAATCCTGACATTGTTGTATAATTTGATTTTAGTTGATGGATCAAGACAAAGACACATCAATTGAAGTGGATGGATATAATGAAATGAGTCCGCTCATGATATTGCCATTCGAAGGAGCTGCTGAAACCAGAAAAAGGAACAAAAAATGAGTCTGATCATGAAACTAGAAAAAGGAACAAAAAAAAACAGGTTCTTGGGTAACCCTGAAACCGGACCGAAAAAACAGGGTCGGTTCCAAAACAGGGTCCAAGGAATACAGGGTTGGTTTCAGGTTCCAAAAATTAGGAACCGGTTATAACAGGGTTGGTTTCAGGTTCCAGGTCTAGACCCAACCCACCCTAGAACCGATCACCCCTAAAAGGTCCGCATATCAATTTCACGGGGAAAAATGTCAAAAAAGTCCTAAACTTTTGACATTGGTGCCAATTTAGTCCTAAACCTTTTTTTTGGTGCCAATTCAGTCCTAAACCTTTTGCATTGGTGCCAACTTAATCCTAAATCTTTTTTTAGTGCCAATTCAGTCCTAAACCTTTTGCATTAGTGCCAATTCGGTCCTAAACCTTTTGTTTTTGTGCCAATTCAATCCTTCTGGCTAATTTTGATCGGATTTTGCTAACGTGGACGCCAACCGGCCGGCAGTTAGTCATCGGCGCTGACGTGGATAACTTTTAATAATATTTTAATATTTTTTGAATTTTTATTTATTTTTTTCTTTTCTTTTTTTTCCCTCCTCTCCTCCCTTCCTCCAATTGGTCGCTGGACCGGCGATAGGCCAGAGGCCAGCGAGGCTCGCCCTCGCTAGTGATGGCGAGGGCGAGCCTTGCTATGGCTAGGCAAGGCTGGCTGGCAAGGTCGTGCCTTGCTCAGTTGCCGGCAAGGCTCGACATCGCCGGATCCAATGAGGCCGGGCCTCACCCAGTTGCTGGCAAGGCTCGAGCCCTCGCCAGAGACCTTCGATCTCACGGCCTCCAGCAAGGGCTTGAGCCTCGCCTGCGGTTGGGAGAGGCTCGACCTCGCCAGATCCGGCGAGGTCGGGCCTCGCCTAGCCTTGGCGAGGCTTGCCCTGGCCTCCCAGTGTGAGGCCGCCCTCGCGGCCATCTAGTGAGGGCGACCCTCGCCAGCCTTTGGCCTCTGGCCGATCGCCGATCTAGCGACTGGCTAGAGGAAGGAGGGAGGGGAGGAAAAAGAAAAAAACAACTCAAAAAATATTAAAATATTATTAAAAGTTATCCATATCAACGCCGGTGGCCGATCGGCATCCACGTCAGCAAAATATGGCCAAAATTGGCCGGAAGGACTGAATTGGCACAAAAACAAAAGGTTTAGGACTGAATTGGCACAAATACAAAAGGTTTATTATTGAATTGGCACAAAAAAAAGGTTTAGAACTAAATTGACACTAATGAAAAAGGTTTAGGACTGAATTGGCACCAAAAAAAGGTTTAGGACTTTTTTGACACTTTTCCCCAATTTCACGTGTACATGTCTCTCTTCCTCCATGTGTCATCGGGGATGTGAAATTTCAGCACAATTTGATATTTCTTTGATAGAAAAAAAAAAACCTTATTTTTTCTATTTCCTTATCTTCTTTTTCCTCTTCGCCGTTCGTTGCAACCTTATTTAACATGG